TATATATATATATATATATATATATATATATATACACACACACATATACACACACATATGTATACATATGTATATATATGTATATATAGAGAGAGAGATACACTAACCTGAATTCCGTCACCGCTATCGGCCGCCACGCTCTGCTGCTATAACGTGAATAATTCATTTAAAATTTTTAATATGAGGAATCAGTCGTCAGCTTTGAATTTTGTAATTTTATTAAGAATCAATTATTAAAATCGAAATATGATACTAAATTGTCTTAGGATTTTTGTTCGTTTTAAAGCATAACAATTCGGTTGTAAAAAAATTCTTCACGGAAGTATTTCTTGTTAATTAAATGGATAATGAACTTAAATGTATTGGCATTATAGAAAAATGCAAATTTTAGTATTTATTCAATTATGACCGGTTAGTTAACCGTTGCGAGTAGGATATACTCATAAGCCTCGACGGATTGGAACGGAAGCCGTGCGTAAAATAGAAAGTAAAGTAGAAAGAGAGCGAGAGAGAGAGAGAGAGAGAGAGAGAGAGAGAGAGTGAGTGAGTGGAGGGAAAGTCGCGAGACGAAATCATCGATGAAAGATGAGCCCACATCACCGTTCGTCCTGATGACGTAATTTCCATCTGCCTTGGGGACGGAACCGATCGTCACCAACGAAGGGACCATTAGAATAGAGAAGATTGTCGAGAGGGTTCCTCGATGTCTTTCCTCAACTCCCTCGAGAAGCTCCCGGGACACGTAGTCAACGTCTTTGTTAAGTAACAGATAAGTGTAAGCCAATTCCTCTTTCGCATTGATTTCAATATTACGATTCTGCATCGCAGCCCCGCGAAACACCCGAGATGCCTGGTAGAGTTTATACATTACCATATTTCATTAACCTAAACCTGTTTCGTGCTACAATTATCTGGTTGTAAGGATACCGACGTATCGATGCGTCTTATTGGTTCTTTAAAAGACTCGGACTTCGCTTTTACCTAGTGCTGTTATCGTTAGCGACTAACTTATGTCTCAATATGTACTTTATTACAATTGCGGGTACATAATCCTTATAGGTGTTCAATTAGGGGTACTCGTTGAAGTACCACGCCAACGCTGGCACAATATCGCGTATAATATCGCAACCTTATCGTTCCTCTTTTCATCCGATATTGATAAAATATAAACGACATAACGATCAATATCCAATAACAATAATGACATGGGCCATCGTGCTTTGACGCATGAATCGTTTCGTATGTTATTTCATTGGCTGTTGATGGTCGAGCAGTGTTGACGTCCCGGTTAGTGGATTAAAATATTTAGGCGATAACTGCAGACTAGCTCATAGCTAATTATTTCAATGTTATGATATAAGGAAATTTCATCAAGGAAAGTTCATTTAATTCTATATTCGTGGAAGAATAGTGAAGCCTCGGTGTCGAGAATACCTCAGGATGCCAACGTTTAATATTAATGATTACAACAACACTTATCATAATTACTATCCCCATAATAACATTAGAATTATAGATTAAATATATTAAATAATTAAAAGAAGTATTCTGTAATATAGTGATTGTTATTAAATAGTTAACAAACACGATAATAATTTATTGATATGGGATATGCCGTCCTTAATGAATTTCATGGGACCCGATGCAGAATTTTAATGTCTGGTTGAATGTGACAGAGGGGGGCGGGGGGAGTTCGAGAGAGGGGATTTTCATTCGATTATCCGTTGCTTCAATGGTGCTATTGTCTGCAGGCATAGGGAGCTTCTCGGGAGGCTGAAGCTGCGAAGAAAATGGAAAGTCCGTCATTTTGGGTGAACGAGATGCTGGTGTCGCCTCATCTCCCTCGTCGGTGCTTTAGTTTTGCTCTCTGGGCGTCTTGCCTCGCGGTTTCCGCTCCTATTGGTCCAGACTCTATTTACGTGTCCAGCTGTTGCGGTCAATTAGCTGGTCACAATGAATGAGAAAATAATAAAGGACGAAGTTATTGATTGAAATTATGAAAATCATTGATAAGAGATCGCAAAATTTTTATAATTATAATTAATTATATATTTTTATTAAATATTTTTGGTTATTAATTAACGGAAAATGTACAGATACAGATAGCATTTAAAGTTCTTTGCTTTTTTTCGTTTACTTTTTCCGATAAATTTACAATAATAGCAACACTTAATTAATTTCATAAATGTGATAAAATCACTACGTAAGGGAATTTGAGTGACATGCAAATTGAATATTAAGAAATACGGTTATGAATATTGTATTTGAGTTTTGTAAAATGTATGGTTTATACTCATTATTTATAGTAGAAATATTTGTGTGTTCGTCAAATTTTATTTTAATTAGTCCGTTTTATGTTTTTTGAACTATACATATTTTTATTTTATTTAAATTTTTTTTGTTTTCATTCGTTTTAAATAACTTAATGGTTATTCTGATTTTTTCTCATAAAGTTTGAACAGCAAGTAATTAGTATCAAAATAAACAATTATTTCAATTAAATCGAAAATGTATATATATATATATATATATATATATATATATATATTTATATTATATGAATACTTATTTATTATGCTGTTTATTACAAAAGAAAATAAAAAAATCGATGAATTGTAATTTAATGAATTAAGTAAGTGATTTATTTAACAAATTGCTTGTTAATTAGGCTTATTTTTCTACATAATAATCTTTTTTATCGCTACGATTTGCGATGAAAGAGCAAGTAATTAACGTGTCTTTGAAATATATCAACGGTTTTTCTCCAACGACCTTACTTTTATTATTAGTAATTCGTTGATAGTTGATAATTAAAATATTTTTTAATTTCCTTGAGTTCCATTGTATTCTGATTTTACTCCTATGTAACATTGTATTGGCATTTGGCAGTAATTGTTAAGTTGAATCCGCTCCATTTACAACGTCATGACACGGGTTTAACGAGGCTGCCAAAATTATACCAATGTCGCCTTATGGAAAATGTTAAAGTACTTTGTTATTTATTAATTGAATTATTAAGTTTCATTTTTTAACTTTAAATATCACTTTTTTATTGAAGCTCTAATGAAGTATAATTATGTAAAATAAACACGATATCGCCGACGATAAACTCGATGGATCATACACAAAATGTCTACCTTTTATCGTATGCCTTCTAATACACATTTGCAAAAGGTTTCGTAACCGCTAAAATTTTTTTTATAAGTAACAATAGATTCTCTCATTGTTCACAATGTACAAAATTTCTTACTCTCAAGTAGCTTCCTTGTCGTCACGAAGTGTTAATCTTTATTTTATAAATTATAAAAATCCCTTGAGCAGTGCCTTTCTAAAAATACAAGACGGCGATCGACATATAAAATAGT